AACATTAGTAACAACAAAATAAGATAACGTAAAATATTTTGTGAATCAAAGAAAAGGGTGAATGAGCGAGACGGGCGGTACTCGTAACTGGCTCATTGGTGATTTAGTACAAGTGTAGCCATCTATGTGTAAAAACAATCAAACAAGTAATCTCACAGTGGGCATGGCATGGCATGCCCATCGGCAATGGTTTAAAAAGATAAGTTTGATATTTATTATAAATATTAAACTTGGGAAGAAAATTTTAATATTATTAATAGTAGTCTCATAATTACATTATTCATTCTTTACCATGTTCCCTTCAGATGTGCCTACTTTACCGAAGACTGTACAACAGATTTGGGGAAGTTCCTGCACTTATATTCGCAGTACCTTTCCGGAGAGAAGAAAAAGAACGAGGACATTGTCGACCCATTGGGTATGTTATCACTTACAGTTGAATTAGCTGTTGCCTTTATTAAAGTGATAGATTTATGAATTGATTTGGTTATTCAGTTTTTGCTTGAGTTATCAAACAAGCATCTTTGGTGAAGATAGATGTTGATACAGATATAAGTTGGAGGATCTTTTATAAATATTACTTGCTTTTATATCATAAGGTCTTGCTGAAAATTTAGAAATGATACGTTAGAAGTTCCCTTGGCAATTTGAATGAGAATCATCAAAAATTGCTATGTTTTAAAGGGTTCTAAGCAAATTTAATGTTTGTTTCTATGGGTTCGGATGTATTGTGGTTCGTATTGAAGAACTTGTGGTATGACTTGTACCAAAATGGTTTTAAGGGGCGAATATCTTCTCACAATTATTTATTCCTAATAGAGATTCTCCTCTTTAATGGATATTAATCATTGGCAGAGATGTACACCGGGGAATATTAAATAATGTATATATGTATATATATATATATATATATATATATATATATATATATATATATATATATATATATATATATATATATATATGCATATATATATATATGCATATATATATATATATGCATATATATATATATGCATATATATATATATGCATATATATATATATGCATATATATATATATGCATATATATATATATGCATATATATATATATATATATATATATATATATATATATATATATATATATATATATATATATATATATATATATATATATATATATATATTTATATATATATATATATATATTATATATGCAAGATGTTATTATTGTACATATGCTTGAGGGTGTTTACATTGGTGCTTTGTTTATTTGTTATTATGTCAGTACAGTCCAAGAAATCATTTCAATGCATAATCTGGCAGAATTGCAAATCAGTTCTTTATAATAATTTAGTCTTTATAAAGTTAAACCTTGTAGAAGTAACCTTGAATCATTGTTAGATTTTACCAGATAGCCTACATTCACTTTATGGTTAGTCAGGAGCTGGAACTTACAGCAGAAACACTTCAGTTCTAATCCTAATATTGCTTTTCACTTGGGCCCAGTCACCAACGACCAGCACAAAGGAGCATACCTGAAGGACCTACACACAGAACTCTCAAAGATGTACAACCAGCACACATCTGCACCAGAATCTAGGTGAGACACAATTTATCATATCATTCCTCTTCCAATTTTTCCTCCTCATTCCTTCTCCTCTTTTTTTTTTTCCTCTTGTTCTTCTTCTGTCTACCCTCTTCCTCCTTCTTCTCCTCTTTCTCCTCATCTTTCTCTTTCTCCTCCTCCTTCTCCTTCTCCTCCTTCTCCTTCTCCTCCTTCTCCTTCTCCTCCTCCTCCTCCTCCTCCTTCTCCTTCTCCTTCTCCTCCTCCTCCTCCTCCTCCTCCTCCTCCTCCTCCTCTTCCTCCTCCTCCTCTTTTTCCTCTTCTTTCTCTTCCTCCTTCTCCCTTTTTTCCTCTTCTTTCTCTTCCTCTTCTTTCTTTTCCTCCCCTTCTTCCTCCTCCTTCTCCTCCTCCTCCTCCTCCTTCTCCTTCTCCTTTTCCTTCTCCTCCTCCTCCTCCTCCTCCTCCTCTTCCTCTTCCTCTTCCTCTTCCTCTTCTTTCTCTTCCTCCTTCTCCCTTTTTTCCTCTTCTTTCTCTTCCTCTTCTTTCTCTTCCTCTTCTTTCTTTTCCTCTTCTTTCTTTTCCTCCTCCTCCTCCTCCTCCTCCTCCTCCTCCTCCTCCTGCTCCTCCTCCTCTTTCTCCTCTTTTCCCTCCTCCTTCTCCTTCTTCTCCTTCTCCTTCTCCTTCTCCTTCTCCTTCTTCTCCTCTTCCTCTAACTCTAGATGTGGAATTAAAATTGCATGTTTCTGTGCAAAAAAGCCCTCTTGATTGGTTTAATGGTTCTCTCTTTTCGTGTTTTTGGAAACAAGAAATCTTGATGTAAATTTTGAGATTGAAAGTAATTTGGAACAGCTTAAGATCCAATAAATTTGTCACCTTCACCATTCTTACGGTTTCTTCCAGCGAGGGTGAGATGGATGCCTGGTTGCTGTGGTTGTATGGGGTAGTCCTCAAGCGCCTGGACCTCACAAGACAAGCAGTGGAGGTCTTGTGCCAGGCACTCCACCTCGAGCCCTTGCATTGGGGTGCGTGGCTGGAGCTGGCTGCCCTTATCACCGACAGAGAAATGGTTGGTTGAAGTTTTTTTCTCCTTTTTTTTTCTTTTTCTTTTTTTCTTGATGGATGGATTTAGTTGCCAGAGATGTTGTATTCAGTGGATGCTTCTCATTACATACAGTTAGCTGTGTGCATTGTAGTGAGTATGAATGTGTACAGACAATTATTTAACCTAATTGGCACGGATGGAAAGAATACATGCCATGCCCTCTGTAATACAAGTTTATTTATTGTATTTACACATAGATGGCTCTACAAGTACTTGATCACCAAGGAGTCAGTTATTAGTCTTACCTGTCTCATCTGTTTATCCTTTTCCTTGACTTTTGGAAAGGGTCTTTTGCATTATTTTATTGTGTTCAATGTTATAAAGATTTTAATAACAATTTAATAATCATAATATCATAACTATAAGAATAGCATCATTTGCAATTGTATTAAAAAAATGATAATAATAATTTCCCACCAATTCAAGGAATGGGGAGATAAGGATCGGTCACAAGAGCCTATTGATAGACTTCTTGCTGGCTGAGCACATGTAGAGCCATCTGTATGTAACAAAATTCACAAAAAACATAAATCTGCAATGGTTGGGTTAATATTTTGTGTAATGTGCAGAGTTGGATTTTAAAGGAGAATTTAGTTAATAAATTTAATAATCTGTTTGTTAATGGCTAGGCAAAGTCTTCTCATCTCATTTTCATATGTTATAAAGCTTAATAGTATTTTAGCACAACAGGTATCTATATATTTAACTCCATAAAATCAGGAATTCAGTGCATGCCATGTTTTAATTATAGTCTCTAATGGTTTGTATTTGTCCTTAGTTGAGCACTCTGAAACTCCCAGACCACTGGATGCGCAAGTTATTCCTTGCACACACGTACCTAGAGCTGCAACTGAATGATGAGGCTCTGGAGATCTACACCGGCCTGCAAGAAGCTGGTCTCTCCCACTCCACATATATCATGGCTCAGGTAGCCATCACGCACCACAATCAGAGAGGTAGGAGTATGTTCAGGAAGATGTGCGAAGGTGCTTTCCAGATTTTTTTGTGTGCTTGTGATTGTGTTAGTTTGGTCTGGTTTCTTGTTCTCTTGGTTCCACTGCATAGGTTCCTGTTTTGCTCTTAATCATTAATAGATTTAGGTGTTGAAATTATTGTTGTTTTTTTCCTTTTAATAATTAGTTAATAAGCCATCAATTTATTACATTTTTTCCAGAGGTCGACCAAGCTGTGGCGATCTTCAACGAGCTAGAGTCCCTCGACCCATTCCGTCTGAACAACCTAGACACATACTCGAACTTGCTTTATGTCAAAGAAATGCGGGTGGAGCTGTCACACTTGGCACACAGAGTAGTGCAGGTGGATAAGTACCGGGTGGAAACATGTTGCGTCATAGGTATGTTGCTGTTAGTTCATCAGTTAACTTGTAACATTCATGAGGCTTACATTCCTTGTCTTTGGTTCGTCATTTACTTTTTTTTTCTTTTCTTTTTTTCATCATTTCTTGTACAAAATATTATTTTTTTAACTGTTATATCTAATTTGCTTTTATGTTTATACATTTGCATCTGTAGTCAGGTTCTCAAATCTTAAACTCATAACTGTGAAGGACTGAATATTGTTTCATGCATATTTTTTATAGTCATTATTTCATTTGTGTCATCTTCTCTTTTGTTTTTCATTACTGTTTGCATCTATTATATGCCTCTCATTTCATTACCTACCAAAGAAAAAGATAATCTACAACAATTTTTTTTTCATCCTAAAAGGCAACTACTACAGTTTACGCTCACAGCACGAGAAGGCCGTACAGTATTTCCAGAGAGCACTTCGCCTTAACCCTCACTACCTAGCTGCCTGGACACTCATGGGGCACGAATACATGGAGATGAAGAACACAAGCGCAGCAATCCAGTGCTATCGACAGGCTATAGGTATTGACTTGTTTATTTATGTTATCGACGAGCTATGGGTATTGACTTATGTGTTGCTTAAATTTGGGATTTATGTAGTATATGTAGATTTGATTATAATGTTCTAGTAGTAGTCCTGATTTTATTATGTTATTTTTATATCTGTTATTACTGCTCTTACTGTTATTATATTTATTTGGTGTGTTATTACTGTAATAGGTATAATACAGTTCTTGATTGATTGTGCCCTTCTTTTATCTTGAAAAGTAAAGTTTTGCTATTATTTACTCCTATTAACTAGATTTATATATACTAGTTGGCACTATAAAGCACAATTCTTAGTTATTTTATTGATAACTACAATACATTTTTCTAATCACTACTATTTTGTGAACAGATGTTAACAGAAGAGACTACAGAGCATGGTATGGCCTTGGTCAGACCTATGAAATCCTTAAACTTCCTGCCTACTGCCTCTACTATTTCAAACAGGTAATTAAACATTGTGATATTGATTACAGTAATACAGTACAGTAAAGATTTATACTCTATACATTAAGTCTGAAGCTTTGTATTCTTCCCAAACTGTAAGTCTTTAGAAAATTGCTCTCTAGCAAAAAATATGAACTTGTACCTTTGCCTTACAACCCTAAACAAAAGTATACTTAGCCCTCCTCCTCTTACCATTCCACGATCCCAGGCCCAGAAACTACGCCCCAACGACTCAAGGATGCTCGTCGCCCTCGGGGAGAGCTATGAGAAGCTGGAGAAGACGGAGGAGGCCAAGAAGTGCTTCCTAAAGGCCCACAGTGTAGGAGACATTGAGGGCATTGCGTTGATGCGGCTGGCGAAGTGAGTTTTTAGGGAGCTTCAAGGTTAGGGAGATAAGGGAAAAGCGAGTTAAAGGAGTGTGCTTTAAGGGTTAAGGAGACCGTCAGAATAGGAAGGGCCCCTCTTGGTAGAAATTAAGTTAAGGTCAGATTCATATTTGCATACGAGGAAAAACTCTCCTTATTTTAATATTGTTCTGATGAATTCTGGAGCATTATATCACAGCATTACACTTTGATATAATATAGAATATGTCCAATGTATGTCTTTATACCAGACATGAATAGATGATATTGAAATACAATGATAACTAACAAAGAAATAAAAGGAAAACCCAGAGAATATGGACAGAATTCAAATGTAAGAGTCTTTGCCCACTTGAAATATGGCTTCCATGTGACTTCCTGATGATATGTGAGCTTGTAAATGTATTATGAAGTTTACAGAGTAACAAGTACATGAAAATTGATCAGAACAAAATATGAAAAATGACACCCCATGCCCCAGTTATCTGGCAATAGTTAACAAAGGCAAAGGGATTTTTTTTTTCTTTTTTTTTCATTCTTCCTTCCTTTTGGGGGGGAGGGGGAATATTGCCTTACTTGGAAACTTCATACCTAAAAGACTGTAAAGAAATTGCAAAATTGGACAACTGTCTGGTGTCAGAGATAAGTAGTTTTTTATGATATATTCATGTCTTTGAGCAATGGTGCATGAGTGTTATTTGATTCCCTAAACCATACAGAGATTTTGCATGCTCCTTTATGTGAGTGATGGTCAGTTTTTTATGGGAAGCTGCAAAGATTTGAATGACAAAAGGAAAGAAATTCAGTGAAAGCTACAGATACTTTGGTCAGTTTTATTTAATTTTCCTTCAGATGTTGATTAACCTCAAAAACATTCTTCTTTCCCCAGTGCTCTTCTCTGTTGAAATTTGTTATCCAGCAAGATGCTTAATAACTGTGCAATTAAGTCCTTCCTCCCTTCCCTCTAAAATGTTTAGAATTTCCTCATGATACAGCTTCAAAAAAATCATTTAGAGCTTCAGTTTCATTATTTATCTGCAAAAAAGGTTCAGAGAATTAATCTCCCTTTTTCCTCTTTTTAAATTTCCATATATACCAAAGCAGCATAAAAACCTTTTTCCTCTCCTTCCTCTGTCCAAATTTCCATGCTTCCCTTCTAAAGAGCTTCATTAAGCCATCCCTTTCTTCATGTAACTTACATAGTGACCTACAAAACACTGTTAAACAATAACCCTTTATTCCTCGAAAGGCTGTACAGTCGCCTAGGGGAGGGAGAGCAAGCGGCTGTCCTCTATGAGCGTTACCTGCAAGAGACGGAGGATGCAGACCGGTGCGAGGACAGAGGCCAGGTGTACCAATTCCTGACGAGTCATTACCTGCAGAAGAACATGCTTGACCTTGCCTATGACTATGCCCAGAAGTGCACTCTGTTTATGGAGGTAAGAGGATTTGTTTTGTTGGAGCTTTGGTAATCTTTTTTTTTTTCTTCAGCTGGGGAAAAAGGGGTATTAGAGAAAGGAGAGAGGCATGGGTGGGAATGTTATTGTAATGTTCATTATCATGGGGGGGAAAGGAAGAGGGAAGAGGAGAATGAGATGAAAGGTGGAATGTTAATTATTTATAACCCTAGGGCTGGGAGGGGAATACACAGGGGGAGGGGAGGGTTAGAGGTGGGATGTTAATAAATTGTTTATAACTAGGGAAGGGAGGGTAGAGGAAGGGGAGGGGAAAGTTTAAGGTGGGATGTTGTTAAGTTGTTAATAATCTCAGGGAGGGGAGGGAAGGGGAGAGGGGGAGGGGAAATTTATAGGTGAGATGATTTAAATTGTTTAGTAATTATTAGAGGGGGGTTGGGTGAGAAACCTCTAATTAGATAAGTTTTAAAATAGGTTAGTACTGTAGAGAAGAAAGGGAAGAAGAAAAAGAAAGTTTTGGTGAGGATTTTATTGAATTCTGGATTACGAAAGGAAGAGGAAAATTTAAGCTGTGAATGTTATGATGTATGTTTGTTCTAGTGTGCCAAATCATAAGGGTTCTGTCTCTTTTTATTGTATTGATTTTTTAGATATTTAGGGAACATATCAGAATAAGTTCAAAAGGGCATGAACAATAACTCTAATTTGTGCAGTGTGTGTTTTTCTACCATATGATTTTAAGAGTAAATCTTAGAAGTATATATCACACATGTAATTCTTAAGAGTGAAATTAGACTCTTTGTCTCTTAAATTTATTATCTTTGAAAATGTATTAGACTGCTCAGGATAGTGTAAGAGTGTGAACTTGCTTATCTCTGTGGTACACTTGTGTCTCACTACAATTGTGCTATTATTGAGTTGAAATTGAGCATTTCTTTCTTTCTATTGGTGGTATTATTGAGTTGAAATTGAGCATTTCTTTCTTTCTATTGGTGGTTGTTGAAGTTTAGGCAATTTTATGCATGGTTATTATATGGTTTTAGAGCAGTAGGTGATTCATCAGCTTTTGATCTCAGTAAGGTTCAAATTTCTAATAAAATGTGCATCTATTTCTTTAAGGATTTTCTTTGTTCTCTCTCATTATCTTTGTTGTTCTTCCCACAGACACGAGAAAGTGGGAAGACCATGCTGAGGGAAATTGCCAACAGAAGACAACACATAGAACAGAATACAGTAAGTGGCTGTGGCTTTTGCTTGTTAAAAATGAGTATGCAATCAGTCATCAGTTTTCTTTTATAATTGATTACTGATTTTTTTTTTCTCTCTCTCTCTCTCACTTTTTTTCTCCATAATCTTATTCTTTCTGCTTCATTATTTTCCTCTCTCCTGCTTCACTCTCTCTCTGTCTCCTCTTTCTCCCCCTTCCTTTCTGCTCTTTTCTTTCCTGCTTACCACTGTTTTCTAGATTCCTTCTTCCCAATTAACTTGACCTCCTCCTCCTCCTCCTCCTCCTCCTTTTCCTTTTGTTTAATACACCTACATCTCCTGATTCCATTCCTTGTCTCCAACAGCAGGACGACTGTGGGAGTGTGCTTGTGAGCCGAGTGAGGCCGAGAGTCAGTCACGGGGGAGATCGCTCAGCAGCCACCAGATTGCCGCCGCTCAACCTCACCTACACGCCATTGATGCAAACAAAAGCAAGCAAGAAGGCAACAAAATGTCCCTTCGTTGTATTTTTCCGACTTTCCCTCTTTCATCCATCAATCACTCTTTCATCGTGGTTTCGTCATTTCATTGATACCAGTGTGTATTTGGTTGGCAAGGTAAAAGTTTCATGCTTACTAAATTGAACTCTTTATGTGTATTAAATACATATTATAATTATAATGATTATTATTATTTTCTTTTTATCCCAGCTTTTGGGAGGTTAATATAGTTCTTCTCTTCTACATTGATTATTGGTTTTGTAATAAGGAAGTAAATGAGAATAGTTGCAAGTTTGATAATAGTTAAGATTTACATGAATGTTGTTATAAATATGACGTTGTTTGTATGATTGCATAAACCTGTTTTGTTTATTTTTTAAACTTTAATCTTTTTTTATTTATCTTGTCATAACCTTACATTTGTCTATTATTATTGCAATAGTTAACTTTACATAGCCTCTATTGCAGTATAAGATTTCATATATTGTTTTTATAATTAAAACTGTAATAAAAGATGAACAAAACTAGTTTCTAAAAAATCCTCGATAATTGTAAGGAAAAACAAGTAAATATAATATGTAGAACAAGCTCATCAATTAAGAATAATATTTTTATAAAAGGTACCTTCGTGACAAAGCATAAATAATTCAAAACATTTTCTTACATGATCAGGAATATAAAAAATACCACTTTTTTTTTTTTATCATTAACAGTTTATTGAGTAGCCTACCATCATCATCATCAATTATCATCATCACTAATACAGATCACTCTGGACTCGAGATACAGGATTTATATCATCACAGCTTATTAACTACACTAAGTCATTTGTGGGCTGTTCTACAACCTGGATGAGTTTGTCACACGTCATTAATCTTAATGGGGGGGAAGAAGCATTGGGGGGGGTTATGTCTAGGATGATCTGCATATAAATGATAGTGAATGGCAAAAAAAAAAAAAAAAAATAGATATAACTAAGCAATTCTCTTCCATATATTTCCCAGGACACAAGTCGTAGCTTCAATCATTATCTTTTTTTTTTAATGATATATCTGGACTCGACTCGTCTCCCGGCATGCTCTTCCGAGGCCAATAAATACCACAATGCGCTCAAAACAAATAACAAGCGAATTGCAGGTTCCAGAGCCCTCGTTAGTCCTTCTTCCAAAAATACGAATCTTGAGAGTTTTTACATTTCTACAGTAGAAGTTTTTAGTTTTACTTTTTTTTTTCTTTTCTTTTTATTTTTTTTTTTATTGGGCAAGGATTAAAAAAATATCCTTGATACATGTTCCTTTGTTATAATTAGATTATGAGAAAGGAACATGCCTCAAGGTTTAATCCTAAAGAAAGAAGAAAGACTAAGACAAAGAACAGACAAACAAGAAAGAAAGAAAGAAAAAAAGGCTACTAAACTGTCATTAATTTTTTTTTTTTTTTCACTTATTTCTGTTTTTAAGACTGAATAGACAAGGTAATACATCTGAATTGCTTTTGAGTATAAAAATTCTAAAGATCTGTAATAAAATGGAGATTCCCTTGTCTTTTCTACAAGATGGAGTTACATTAGGCACAAACATCACAGAATTACTTTCCAACTGATAAACAAACCTAAACACTTCTTTGTATGCATTCCTACCCTATCCTATCCTCTCCTCTCAGGTGGGGGAAAAAAAAAAGTAAAAGTAGATAAAAATAAAATATATAAAAATAAAAGTTTCCATAGCAGTGGCTGTAGTTCATAGCACATTCCGCATTTCATACACCTATTTGTGAGTCGACAGTGACACCCTCTCCTCACTCTCTTGTTCTCCAAACATCATATTCCTATTACTCTTTTTTGCAGTAAAGGGACGTCCACATTTCTTGAGCTCCAATCATCATGTGCAACATACTTTGCAATCCTGTGCTTCTGTAACAGATGAGCCCTAATGCAAACCCCATTGAAAGGGTATTAAATTGTGCAGTGATAGAACCCCACTAACCAAAATTATCATACTTTTTTTTCTTTTAAGAAACAAAAACAATGACATATTCCAGTTTTTTTTCTTGATGGAAAATCAACAAAAGCAAAAAAATGTAAATGATGAAAATAAAACTACACATAAGAATTATGAGATATGCACTCACAGGCCATTAAAAAAAAGTAAAAGCAGAATGAAAAGAATCATTTCTCTTCAAAACCTCACATTTCTGTAACTCAGGAATAATTTATATCAAAGGAGCATTAACTCCCCCGATTCTGTCAACAAAAATAATCCATTTAATAACTTAACAGAACAGATTGGCACCAGTTTTCTTGGCTACCTCAGACAAGGGGAAAAGACTAACAGAAAATTGTTAACAGTCTTTGTAAGGTCTATCCATTACTGCTGTACTAGTATACTGGAAAGGGGAGCAGGAGTATTGGGGTATTATATATTACATTACATTTCATTGAGATCTACTAGCGAGTATAATATACATTTATCTGCGTCACAACCTGCCTACAAGTACCCTTTTTTTTCCCCATCTTTTCAAATATAGTACTGCACATGAATCCTCTCTTATTATTTCTTTCTAACAATTTTCTGTTGTTGCATTTCCCTTCTCTTTTAATCCACACACAAATGGTGATTATATAATCCCCCAACATCTACATAAAACACAGTAGAAACTTTGTTCCCATATACTGGTGGGCAACTATCTACTCAGAAGAGGTATGAAGAAGGAGCAGAAACTTCACCCTTGGAGAGCGACAACTATCTACCGGTTTACTAGTACAACATTTGGGAGACTAAGGAAGGGGAGGGATTAATATCAATGCCTGTCTTCGTGGTGCTTCTCTGCTCTCTTGTCAGCGCTAACAAGAGGTTCGAAAATGAATTCTTCCATTCCTCTGCTATGTATTACTTTCCTCGTCTTTCATTTCACTTGCCTCTCTTTCAAAATTGAATGTTTTGCACTCTCTCATAACCTTAACTGTGTTTTTATTTCAGAAGTTTTTTATCATTCACTTCCTTGTCATGAAATTCATTGGATCATCTTCTTTCGAAAAAAAAATCATACCCTTGTTTTTCCAATAGTATTCTTGTATATCTATATCTCTTTGCATTTTATTTTCCTCTGAACAATTTAGCTCCATCCTTCTAAAAGCTGAAGTGTTGTCTACATCTGGACAAAATCTTTAAAGAAAAGGAGACACGGGAAGATGACGATGAAGCGCGAGTGTAAATAGAAAAAATAAGACTGCCTATGTGATAAACCTCTAACCATATCTATGAGTATGTGCAAGGGCAACCCTAAAGCTCTGAGAAGGATGCAGCATAAATTCCGAGTAAATTCAAATTCCACCTTATCTTCTCAAAGATACATTTTTCCATTTCTTTATTTCATGAACTGTTTTTCCTAGTATCTTTTTTTTCTGTTTTTCAATTCCTGGTATTTACAGGAAGTACTGATCAAACTGGTTCTGGTAATAGTTGCTGAAGGGACCAGCGTCCTGGCTCTTGGTGAGGGGCTGCCCGGTTTTCTTGCTGTATTCTTCCCACCCTCCGATGTAGTGCCTTGACCTGAGGGAGAGAAAAAGGGGGGAAGAGCTGGTTAAAAGAGATGATTTTGCATTTCATATATATATATATGTAAAAGGTTTTTAAGAATATATATAAATATTACCATTTCAGGGAAAAAAAAATTACAGGAATTGGGACTCCCCTTTCATTCTGAGTATTTCATGACTTCATGTAACCTACAATTTCAACTAAAGCAAATTATTGGCATTAATCAATTAACTATTAACTCCAAAAATCCATAACTTGTAACAATTCTCTCTTCCTTTCTCTTACAAAAGTGAAATCTCTTAAACTCCACAAACCTAGATAAGGTCACAAAATGCATGAAGTCACTGTCCTCATTAAAAAGGACAACAGTTACTTTGTCCTCAGGAAGACCCCAAGTCCCCCCCCCCCCCCATACGACTCTGTCTCAACAACCCCCTTCCCTGGATTCTCTCCCTCCGGATATTTTTCCTGAAGCCGTGATTTAATCGCCCTTAAAACCCTAACCCCCCTAACCCCCCCCCCTTCTCCTTCCTTAATCCCTACCTTACCTTAAGGACATCCTCGCAAAAATCCCACCCTTCTTCCTTTGATAACTTGGATTTAATCACCCTTGTTAATCCCTGCCTTGTTAATCCCTGATTTCTCCCTCTCCATCTCCCCCTCCCTCTCCTCCAACCCCAGTACCCCCAAACCCTCTCTCCCCCACCAACCCTAGCACCCCAAACCTCCTCCATCTCCTCCTCAACCTCCTCCCTCTCCCCTCAAACCCCCTCCCTCTCTCCCACACCCCATCCTTCTCCCCCCCCAAACCCCCTCCCTCTCCCCCTCAAACCTCCTCCCTCTCCCCCCCCCCCAAACCCCCTCCCTCTCCCCCCACACCCCACACACACAAGACCCCCTCACTCACATCTTAAACCCAAGGCGATGGGCGATCTCCACAGCAGCACTCGAGGCGTTGGGACCCCGGGCGTAGAACACTAAGTTGCGGTCGCACTTGGTGGGTTTCTCGACCTGGAACTCCCTGGCCCACTCCTCGTCGGACAGCTGGAGGGCGAGCTTCAAGTGGCACACTGATGGAGGAAGAGAGAAAGGGAACCAATTAGTTACACGACGAAAAGGAAACGAAGGGGAAAAAAATATACACCAAATAGCTTGCTTATTTATATCAACATACCTTACAGAAAATACACACGTAAGTCTTAAAGCAAAATCCAATACAAAAAAAGAGAGACAGAAAGAGAGAGAGAGTGAGAGTGAGAAAAATTAAGAAAACAAAAAAACAAAAAGAGAAAAAAACAGAAAAAAGGAAAACAAAAAATGGTCTAAAAAATAACCCGCGAATTCCGAACATGGGTACGGCAGACGAAAGAGAGATGAAAGGGAGGAATAACTGGGAAAAGGGGGTGACGAAGAGGAAAAGGAGGCGATAGAGATAATGATGATGATGGTTAGAAGAAGAGGGAGAGAGATAATAAGAAAACAGGATTATGAAAATAGCTGGAAGAAGTGAGACACACGCGACGAAAAGGGAAAAACCGACGTAAACGAAGACAAACAGCAAGATGATAACGAACCCAAAAGTGAAAGAGAAGAGGGTGATAAAGAAGACAAGATCTGGAAGAGCAGGGAGAGGTACGCAGAAGTCAGCAAGCAACAATTCAAAGCACACACAATGTTGCTGACGTTGTTATAATGCGTAGCTCGGCCAACGATGGGACATTCTTGACCTGTGTACTAAGTCCTGCCTCCTAACCCCCCCATCTCTCTTTCCTCTCCTCTCCTCTCCTCTCTTCTCCCCTCCTCTTCCCTTCCCTTCCCTGCTCTCCTCTTCCCTTCCCTTCCCTCCTCTCCTCTCCCCTCTTCTCTTCTCTCCCTCCCTCCCTCCTCTTCTCTCTTCTCCTCTCCCCCTCCCTCTCTTCTCATCTCTTCTCTCTTCTTCTCTCCTCTTCCCCCTCCCTCTCCCCCCCTAATTCTCATTGCCTCATACCCTCCTCCTTCCCCTTGTTATGTCGTACCCTTATTTTCTTTTCTCTCATTTTTTCTCTCTCCTTATCTTTCTTTTCTCTCTTTCCTTAACGTTTCTCTTTAATGCAAATGAGAATGGAAAAAAAAAGAAGGAGAAGAGGACGAGAGGAGACGAAGGTGCGAATGAGGAAGAAAAAGAAGAGAAGACAAACAAAATAAAAGGAACATTAACGTAGAGGGAAATAGGGGAAATGAATAAAGAAGAAACAAAGGAATAACCGAGAGATGAGGAAGTATGAATATCCTGATAAATATGCGAGGAAGACGACGAAGGACGAACATGTCAACGATGCAGATGAGAACGAAACATGACGAAAGAGGAAGAAAAAAAGTTAAACAATAAAAAAGTGTATGGAGGAGAATACGATAAAGGAAGAAGATGGGAGATGGAGAATTATTAGTGAAATGGGTGATGATGAAGATGATGACGATGAAGATGAAGGTGAAAGAAGAAATGATGTTAAAAAAAGGAAAGGATGGGAGAAGAGGACGAGAAGAAAAAAAGAGAACAGAACAGAAGAGGAAGAGAAGAAAATAAGAGAACAGAACAGAAGAGGAAGAAAAAGGAGGATGAAAAGACAGAAAGAGACAAAAGAGAAATACTGCGAATATAAATAACGTAAGAAGAGAGAGAAAAAAGTGCAAAGATGACATGCAACTGGGGAAAGGCAGACCCGAGCACCCCCCCCCCCCCCCCCGCCATCTCGTACCTCCCCAGCAACAGGCCCGTCGGTCCCTTGGCCTTCACTGTGCAAAACACCCCATTGCATATATATATGTGTGTGTGTGCTTGCGTGTGTGTGTGTGTGTGTGTGTGTGTGTGTGTGTGTGTGTGTGTGTGTGTGTGTGTGTATCTATATTTATATCTATCTATATAGCTATTTATCTTTATATATATATATATATATATATACATATATATATATATATATATATATATATATATATATATATATATATATATATATATATACATATACACCCTTCTTCCTTCGTCTCTCTTTCTCTTTCTTTCTTTCTCTCTCTCCCTAACCCTCTTCCTCCCCCCTCTTTCCACCTTTCCGTCCTTCTTTTATGCCTCTATCCTCCTCCTCCTCATCTTTCCGCCTTCCTTCTCCATTTCCTCCTCCTCCTCCTCTTCCCCCTTCCCATCTCCCTCCCTCCCTTCCTCCTCCTCCTCGTCCTCCTCCTCCTCGTCCTCCTCCCCCTTCCCATCTCCCTCCCTCCCTTCCTTCCTTCCTCCTCCTCCTCCTCCTCCTCCTCCTCTTTCTTCTTCTCCTCCTCCTCCTCCCCATCTTTCCGCCTTCCTCCTCCTCACCCACCCATGATCCACCTTCAAAGTCAAGGCCGATGGGGACTGATGTCTCGGTTTCAACGTCTTGGCAAAAGTTACAAGGGTGAGACACGGCGCCATCATCACCCCCCCCCCCTCTCTTCTAACCCCCCCCCAGAAAAGAAAGAGAAAAAGAAGAAGAGGAGGAAGAGGAGGAGGAGGAGGAGGAGGAAATAAAAGACGATGACGAAAAAGGACAAGGAGAAGAAAAAGAAAAAAAAGAAGAAGACGAAGACTGAGAAGAGATGAAAACGAAGTAGTAGAAGAAGAAGAAGAAGAAGAAGGAGAGAGAGAGAGAGAGAGAGAGAGAGAGAGAGAGAGAGAGAGAGAGAGAGAGAGAGAGAGAGAGAAAACATCTCACGCAACAACAGACAAACATCTTTACGACGTACCCCCACCCCCTCCTGAAAGGTCGGCGGGATCCTGGCACGCGGCGCAGCCAAAATGCACTCATGTGACGCCGCCCTCCCTGCGTCCCGCGTGCGTGTTAATTCGGCAGCGTGACCGGACGAGGTTACGAAAATATACGACGCACACTCATTCACTTGCACACTCACTTGCTTGCTTACATTCTTACTCACATACGTACATACATACACATTCGCACTCGCAAGCATGCATATATTTATGCACACAGTCACTCCCACTCACATACATACATACATAAATACAAACATACATATATTCATACATACATGTATAAACACACTTACTCCCACTCACATACATACATACATAAATATAAACATACATACACACTCCCTCACATACATGCATACATACACACTCCCTTACATACATACATACATGCATACCCCCCCGCCCCCCTCCACAAGCCTACACACACACACACAACTACCCACTCCCCCCCTCCCTATCCTTCCCTCTCAACCCCCGCCCCTCCCCCACACCTCCCCCACCCCACTTCCTCCAACCTATACATAGAAACCCGACCGAGTGCCAGCGCCAGACATTCATACTCGAGCGAGGGCCATCAAGGTGCCATCTTACTCCAGCGTAATGAAGGGGTGCCACTCTCGCTCGTACCCGCCGGGGGAGTATTTTATCCCCAAGGCCATTGCGGTGCCAGGGAGGAAGGGTGGGGGGGGGAGGGTTGGTAGGTGGGTATGTGGGAGGTAAGGAGGGAGGGAGGGAGGGAGGGAAGGTGGGTGGGAGGGAGGGAGGGAGGGAGGGAGGGAGGGAGGGAGGGTGGGAGGCAAGGAATGAGGGATGGAGGGAGGGATGGAGGAAGGAATAGTGGGAGGGTGGATGGGCGTGAGGGAAGGAGGGAAGGAGGGAAGGAAGGAAGGAAGGAAGGAAGGAAGGAAGGAGGGAGTTTGGAAGGGAAAGAGGAAGGGTGGGTTTGTGTGAGGGAGGGAGTGAGGGAGGGAGGGAGTGAGGAAGGGGTGGAGGGAGGGAGGGAGGGCGGGCTGGTTGGATGGAAGGAGAGAAAGAGGGAGGGAGTGTTTGGCAAGCACATGCCGTTCTCCGAATATTAGGGCGCTTTGTATAGTTCAGATGAAACTGTATTACTCCTTCTCCGTCTCCCTTTCGCTCTCTCTCTCTCCCTCTTTCTCTTTTATATAACTTTCCTCCTTTCTCAATTCTTCCCTTTCTTCTGTATGTATCTGCCTCTCACATGTGTTGATTAGTCACACTCCCCAAGAGCAAACCAGTGACTAACGCCTCACGTATTTCACTGAGAGACAGTAGAAAAAGAGAGAGAGAGAGAGAGAGAGAGAGAGAGAGAGAGAGAGAGAGAGAGAGGGAGAGAGAGAGGGAGAGAAAAGGAGGAAGGAAAAGAAAGAAAGAAAGAAAGAGAGAGAGAGAGAGAGAGAGAGAGAGAGAGAAAGAGAGGGAGAAATACAGAAAGCGAGAGAGAAAAAACGCTCGCACACCCAAAAGAAACACAGAAACATTCATAAGGTGCAAAGGCGATGAACCGAAGGGCGGCCAAGCTAAACACATTTTACAAATTAGCGAAGGGGGTGAAGGAGTGGGAGAGAGGGGGGGAGGGGGCGAGGGGTGGAGAGGGAAGGAGAGGAGGAGACAAAAAATAAGAAAGAATGAGAAAGAGAGAGGGAAAGAGAATGGGACATGTAGAGGGGAAGGAGGGAAGGGAGAGGGAGAGAAAGAAAAGGAGAAAGAGAGAAAGAGAAAGAGGAAGACAGAAAGAGAAAAGGAGAAAAAGAGAAAGAAAGAAAGGAGAAAATCCCTATCCCAAACGCCATGTGACTCCCCCCCCCCTTTCCTCTCTACTCCCTCCCCCCCACCCCACCCATCCCCCTCTACCTAGGCCACCTAATCTGCTTTCGTTCTGCATGACCATTTACGAAAGCAAAAACACCAACTACGTTTTCAATATGTACTCTGTCAGCGGGTTTTTATTATCACCTGTCCTACCCCAGTACCGTTCAGGAAAATCCTATTGCTCAGAAACATCCTTTTATCAACTAAATAGCTTACTCGTATCTCGCCCGTTCGCTGTATTTATCAATCTAATCTTGCTCCCTATCTTTCTGTTTTTGGTCTTTCTTTCTCAACCACTCTTTCTTTTAGTATTTTCGGTATCCTTATTTCTAATGTCATATCTACGAATTTTCATAATTAGTCTTCGTCATTATCATTATTACGATCATCATCACCACCTGACATAATTACAGTCAACACTACTGACGACAGACATCATGGCGATAACAATAACAACCATAA